AAGTTTACGCCTAAAAGTACAATTAATCTAGCGACGTTCTGGTCCTTGCGGGTCGGGGCGTTACAGTTCATAATCGGAATCTTGCACCAAGAATCTTCTTCAACCTCAAAAGTCTTCAACCCTAGCTTTTGCTCCTTGATCTTGATGTTTATGTGTTTTTCTCCCCTTTGATCTTGCTCTCTCAATCTCAAATTGTATTTTTTTCTCTCAATGTGTGGAATCCCTCAATTGTCTTCTAGGGTTTTATTTATGCCTTCTTCAAATCTTGGAAGGGTTTTAGTTGAGTTGGGCTTTTAAAAAGATGAATTTCACTTGAAAGCCCTATTTGACGGCAGCGAGGCACTAGGCGCTACGATTGGGCGCTTTAGCGCTGACTTTCGGGAAAAAAATCAGAAACATAACACTTGGACGCTATGGAGGCGTTGTCGTCAGCTTCGATTGCACTGCACAACATTCAATCTTTTTACCAACACATTTTTCGTCCGATGTTCGATTAAGACGATTCAAGATGCATTGGAAAATTAGCTCAAAGGGCTATAACTTTGCTTCAAATATCATTTTGAAATTTGATCATTTGCTATGTAAAAAATGGGTCTCAATATGAGTCTGAAAACGGTACATACATTTTTTTGGTTGGAACTTGATGTGTGATCATACTTTGATTATATTTCATCCATTTGATATCTTTCTTTATCCAATTGATTTCGAGCACTCTTGAATCTTCATCGTGAGGTCCGACGCAACTTTTGAGTATTTGCACTTTAGTCCCCGAACTTTGGATCTCTTACAACTTAGCCATTTTCTCCAATTTTGTCAACTTTTGCTTATTTCCTTCAATTTCTTGTACCGTCATTGAATTTTATCTATTCAACACCAAATGCAATAATTTCAACTATAATTCATTTAAAAAACAACTAAATATCATCATTTTAAAACCTTGAATAAGTGTATAAAATACACTTATCAGTAGATCTTTCCTCAAATAATTGCTCTTAGATTATTTGAAATTACTTTGGTGATCATAATTTATAATGATGCTGATATTTTAAAGCTCTAGTATTTAATATAAAGTTGAAGTCATATATATTCTGAACATTTGGATGGCCATCATATACCCCAACGTTGTGTTCCAGCTTCAATCAACATATTCTTGTCTTCAACTGCATTCATTCTACAAAGTACTGATCTAGGAGTGTAAACTTTTCCCTTCTAAGTTAAACAACGAGGTGTGTCAAGTTGGAGTTAATAATTTGAAATGACTTAGCGACAAACTTTCTATAAATAGACTCTAAATCAAGTTGAAAGCTGGTAAACGCATTCTTTCTAAGTGATAGGCTTTGAAGTTCAGAACCTTCTCTTTCTAATTATTGCAATAAATTCATATATTATAATTGCTGATAGTTCTGTGCAAAGCCTATTCACATTTTCCAGTATCCAATGATTTTGAATATGGGTTTCTTTCTCTCAGCATATGTTTCCAATAATTCTATTTTTCACCTTTACAAGTCCTTAGCTCAGCACATGAGCTCAACACATTGTCTATTTTGAATGCAACGTAAGGTTTCACGCATTCACACTCTTTCAAGATTTTGGAGAGACTGCCATCAATGCAACAGGATGAAAATTCAGGCATAGACTTCTCATTATCACTTATGGCGTGTTCGGTAACTCAAATTAAATAGTACTAAAAAAGCTAAAATCTAAGTCCATTGTATTGTTTAATCATATTTTGTACCGCATGCTCACTGGCACTAATGGTTTCTGATTTATTGCCATGCAGGTCTATCATCACTTTGGAAACACGACAGTTGGGCCTTCAGATCCATATTCCCAAGTTAAATGTAGCGTGTGCAACTGTTCAACAGATGAAAGTCTCCTCCTCTTGTGTGATCTCTGTGACTCTGCTTCTCATACTTACTGTGTTGGTCTAGGGGCAACTGTTCCTGACGGGGATTGGTTTTGCCAGGATTGTAAACTTTTGAGGGATGAACAGGCTGAGAATGAAATGAATACTGATCCTGGAAATCAAATTAGTTCTGGTCCTGTGCTTAAAATCCAATCACAGGATGAACGTGTTTGTATTTTTGATATTGTACGAGAACCTTGTAGTACTGTGATTCAGAGAACTAGAAAAGTCTCTTCAGATCCAAGACACTTGCCACCACCTAGTTCTACTGCTGATGAAATTAGTATGATTGGTAAAAAGCATAGCCAAAGTTCAAGAAGGCAGGAAAGTTCTGCACAACAGACAACTAAGTCAAATGCTCGAACTTTACGGCATTGTCGCAATGTGCATGATCACATACGTTTATTGCGTAAAAACTGGAATAGATTTCGAAGTGGTGCCTTAACTTTCTCTTCCAGTCGAGGTGATGGGAGTATTTCTAGTCTGGAACCTGTAACAAGTAGGAGCTTGAATCAACCACATTCATCATCTTGTTTGAACCAGCAGTCGTCTGTTGAGAGTGGTTCTGCCGTTGTACAAGTAGATAACAGCCGGGCATATGTGATTGACAAAGCTTGGGAAATGATGGAAATTGCAAAGACTATAAGACAGGGTCGTGAAAAGTCGATTGTGGTATTTAAGGACTCGAAATATCCTATAAAAAAGCCAGATGCCCTTAAAAAAGCTGATTCTATGAGTTCTAGGCATCTCCCACCAAAGAGTCAACAAAGTGGATACAATGAGTTGGCATCTTCTAAGAGCATCTGGACTTCAGGACCATATAAAGTTATCGAAACAAATCAAGAAAAACTACCTGTTGAAAAATCATTTTCTAGATCCGCTCCCTCGATTTCATCAGTAGTCTCAGAACCATTAGCTTCAAATATATGGCATGTTAAAGAGATCGATCATACATCTTCTTCCGGTAGCAAGCCAAGGTGTTCTAAGGATAAAAATGAGGTGGGATATGGCTGTGTTGACAGAAATGCAGATAAGGGTTATGATGCAAAGAGTGAGATTTGGTGTGTTAAAGAGGTCGATCATAAATCTTCTTCCTGTAGCAAGCCAAGGTGTACCAAGGAGAAAAATGGGGTGGGAAATAGCTTTGTTGACAGAAAGGCCAATAAAGCCTCCGATGCCAAGATTGAGATTCTATCCCTTGTGAAGCTCAACTTGAAACTTCAAACCAAAGATGAGAAATTAGGTATGAAA